TTTGGTCTAGTTGGATCAAACCACTATAAATTTTTGTATTTTTTATTTTAACGCTGTTTTATTTTTTTGGACTTTTTTTTTTTGTGGTTGAAAAGTTTTTGATTTGGAAAATTTTCTTTGTGCAAAAATTAGAAAATGATTTTCTATAATTTTAAATTTTTTTAAATTTTTTTTTTTAAAAAACCAATTCCCCCCCCCCCCCCCCTACCTTGATTATCTTTGAGACAATTGCATTAGGTCTAACAACATATACAGACTTTTCAGGGTTATGCAATGTACATCACATATAAGAAATCATTTTTCATATTGATCAAATTAATGCACCTAAAATACTTAGCACTGTAATTAGAACATCAAAACATATATTTATTATCATCAAAGTCACTAGAATATGTTATGAGGCACATAATGCCAACACCAATGAGATCTCAATAAGGAAGGGGATAATAATAAATAATTTTTCATATTTTCTCATGCTTAATTTAATAGTGGGATGGTCGATCCTTATCTTAAAATATAGTTGAGCAGCTAGGGAACATGAAAAAAACTATAATAACATGGACATATTTTTTTAGGGTTTTGGAATCTTTTGGATAGATATAATTAATGCTGTTAAATGTATGATTAGAATAGTGTACACTTTTTTATTCATTTCATTAGAATCCCAATAAGCTCGATGGATAAGAGGAATTCAAATTTACTCTAACTTAGAATTAAATTTTAATGACCAATTCAACATGCACATAATTACAAGATAAGTCATAAATATGTGCATTATAATTAAAATTAGTGAAATACCTAATAAGCATTGTAAAAATTCATTTTGCAACCATCCAAAATTTTCTTTTATGGTAGGATAAATTGGCGATATATTAAAATTAGTGTTATCCCCATGAGCCTTGGTGTAGGCCACTTTGATTTTGATGATAACAAACACGTGTTTGTTGTGACAAATGTTTTAAATTTAGTGTTGTAGGTCTTCACAAATGATCAAACCAAACCATGGAGGAAGCTGCTTAAAGCTTGGGTGGAGATTGAATTTGGGGTACTTTTTCTTATAAACACTTAATAATGTTTTAAACATAACAAATGGGCTATGGTTTAACTAAGGTAATTAACTATTTATTTAACCTATTCCCATGCCAAAATTCAAATCCCTCCATAAGGATTTTATTTCAAGAAATCCCTCCTTAGGGATTTTATTTTATGAAACCCCTCTATTAAATGTATTTAATTAATTTGATCTCTATTAAACCGCTTTAATCCATGAGATAAATTCTCATTGAATGATTTGAAATCCCTCTTTCCTAATATTCTCTCGCTCAAACTTTCATTAAATCTCTTCCTAACCATTTTTATTTTTCCCTCATTAATTCCATTCTATTTTATTATGTAACATGATTAAACTAGATCAAATTTCATGTTAATCCTGTCCCTTGATTCAATTACTTCCTTAAAATATTCCTTCTAAGTTCCTTGGTTTACTTAAGGCTAAAAACAACTGAACATCAATTCCTTCTCCACTTGAACCTCCATCAACTTAATGGCATCCTTAAGCAATTCTTTCAATTTTCTTGGAGGATCTTTCAGCTCTTTTTAGAATTCTCTTTGAGGAAATTTACTGGGGTGTAGGCTTTACCTTGGATCAAGCTTTGGTGACTTCTTGCTAAAATTTTCTTTATTTGATCATAATATGCTATAAGAGCTTTGTAGTTCTTTATTTAGCTTGAGTTTATGTGATTCATAATCTCATCTTTACATCTTATTCACAAATCTAAAGAGAAATAACATGATTGTGATTCTTGGTGCAAATTAGTAATAGTTTTTTTTATTGAATTTAAATCTAGTTTGAATCATCTTGTGACCTTGTGGGTGAATCTTTTGAAGTGGTTTTGTTTCTATAGAAACTCCATCATATCAGTAATCAAAATTATATTTTTTCCATATTTTATTTATGTCAAAATTTTTTTCAAATATCACAAGTCTTTTTGATGATCGGCTAGTTGTGGATTTTCAATTTATATGTTTTGGATCCAGTTTCAATCTATTTATGATTTTACTTAAGATTATTTTTTATTGGTTTTATCAATTTAGAGTCATCATCTTATTTGTGATTGAATTCATATTTTCCTATAATTTATAAAGATTAAATCCTATTGGATTATTCTATGTTATTGAGTTAACTAGTGAGATATTCTAGTGAAAATATTTAGAGACTTGTTTTCTTTGTCTTATGGTTATTTTATTAAATATTTCTATGAGACCTAATTATTATATCTTATATTAGTGACTTAAATCATACACTTTGAAATCCTTTTGATTTTTAAAATATTAATGTTGGTAGGTTCTTTAAGTGGATGCTTGATATATTGTGTATACTAGTCACAAACATCTAGATTTAAAAAGTTTCATGAAACTCTTTTTAACTATCTATCTTATAAATTAAATCTCTAATCATTTAAAGATTTGAAATCATTATTATATTATTTTATCAACAAATTTAAAATTATTTTTATTGTAGACATTTTTTTCAAAAAATATTTTAATTATATACCATTTTGTGATTTAATGGCTTATTTTGTAACTTGGTTTTGCCTTGTATTTGAATCACCTTTGGTTTATCTTATATATTACTCTATCTATCATCTAAGGTGTCTTTAAACTTATTATTCTAAAAATTTAAAATTATAAAATAGCACTCGTTGGTCTGAATTTTTTTTTTGTTAAAACCCTCGGAGGGGCCTACGCGTTAAATAAAAATCAGGTTCAGAGTCATTATGGAAACCATCGGCTCACTGCTGCTCAAACGAGCTACAAAATAAAGAGAGAAAAAATCTACGAGCCAATTGTCTCTGCAACAAAAAATTACAAGGTACCCTAATAACATTCTAGTGATGCTATAGACAAGCATCCAAAAAAGAAAGATCAAAAGATAACAATAAAGCCCAATCTTTCTGCCAAAAAACTCGACGTCATTCCTAACCAGTTCCATCTGCAAAAAAGAGAAACTACAAGAAAGAAGGCTATACCAAAACATAATATTAGTAAAAAAATTATCAAAAGATGGATAAATAAGGAAACAATAGACAAAATGGATCCAAGTGAGGTCAGTCTCAGAATTTAGATCACAAGAGCTCAGAGAACTTTCATTAATACTAGACTCATTTGGAATGTCCACAAGCCACTCAATCCTACCAGAGGGATCAACCAAATCCCTATCAAAAGCATTCTACCAACACTCGTTGGTCTGAATTTTGTGTAATATTAATTGCCTTGACTTAAGTGTAGTTTTAAACTAATCTTGCCATATTTTGAATTTAACTCTTAAATAATATTTTGTGTTCTAAATTTCTGTCATACCAACATATTTTTCAAGAAAATTTTAGCAATATTTATTTACCAAAATAGCATACAATTTTCAAGTACTTATATTGCTTAATTGACCACATCACATAGTCTTGAAAAATTATTTTAAAAGTTGTTTTCTTGCATTTTTCTTTGCAAATAAATTTATAAATGTCATTTCATCATATTTGCACCTTCATATAATAAAAAATCAATGAACAAACTCATTTTTGTTTTTGTGATTAAAATTTTATTTTTGTGGGACTTGAGAATAATTTCTTGAAAACTATTTCTTTGTGAGTTCTAAATTGTTACACTTATTTTTACATCTTTTGTGACTTGTATTATTAATATGAGGTTCTCACTGTTGTGTGAGGTAGTTTCTTCTGGGTGATAGTAATATACAGCTGTTGTAACCTCTTAGGTTGTTAGTTGAATTCTAATTTGGGGTTGGACTAGGCGTGGAGTAGGCCAGTTTTATATTTGGGCTGAATCACATACAAATTCTTTGTGTTCTCTTTATTGTGATTTGTTTTATTTTTTATGCAACACTCATATCACTAAATTTTCTACAAAGCAAAGGAAAATTAAATTATTTTTTAAATTACAGCTCTAATTAGTGTACAACCCAATTCACCCAACACCCCTCTTGAGTTGCCATACTGTTTCTTAATTAGTACATGACTATATAAAATAAAAATATGAATCATTAAGGGAATGATACTCATTAATCATTATATTACTTGAGTAGAATGTGTACTTATATAGCAGTTTATTAATTGATTAGTGTCACCCATAGGCACATTTGCATCTAGTAGTATGAATGATAAATAAATGGTGAGGAAGTAAAGAGCAATGGGATTATGCTCAAGATGAGCATCAATGAGGTTCATGATGTGTGAAGGAGAAGATGAGATGCAATAACAATGAGATCTCATTGGGGGAAGAGCAATGTTGGGATTCATGAAAAGACCTTGTCGGGGAAGGTTATGGATGGGATTGATGGTGTGCGAAGGAAGAACTAATGGGGTCTAATTAGGGGAGGACATTACAGGAGTCCCGATGAGATCTTATTAGGGAAAGCCATCAAAAGAGTTGCCAATGTTTGTCTGATGAAGAGGAAAATTTTATGGTAATGATAAGTTATCAAAGATTAATCTTTTTTATATTATTTAAAAAATTTGTGTTATAAGAGTAAAAACTAAGTTTTAAGTATTCAATATGTTAATAAGATAGTTTTAAGTGTTATGTATGTAATCCCCCAACTAAAAAATTGACTCGAACTAATCATATTTGGTTGGCTTGGTTTAGTTGTTAAAGTATTGATTAATTAGTTGTAATTTTGACTTTCTTTGATTTTTAGTTACTGGTTATATTGCTAATATATATATATATATATATATATATAAATTCTTCTTACTATTATTTAAGCTAAAAAATCAAACTAAAATGACCTATATAGTATTAAACATAATTACATATTGATTCATAAAAATCGAACTCAAATGATCATATTAAATTTTTATTAGGTTTAATTTAACAATTAAATTACCATAAATTTAATTTTCTAAATTTCATAATTTCAATAGCTAATCATTCCTATGGACACGCCCTAATGCAAATTGCGCACGCCGTATTACTAATAGCCTTGCAGCGGCATCTGCTGTCCATTGGATCTCCCTACCATTTTTTCGAATACAGTTTAAAACCTAGCTCTTGCACGTCTTTTGCTAGTTCAGGTTCGTACAATACTGCTGGCTGCTGCACTGCTTGTAGGTTTTCTTATCAACGCAGTAGCGGGCGGTTTTGACGAGCAGAGGACATTGTGTTGCTTGGGTGTTGATCAGTGAACTGAGTTCGTAGACACTCTGTCTCCGTATGGTGTAGAAGGAACTAAGGGTCGGAGTGGATGGAGAAAATATCCGCGACATGTGCTATGGAATGGAGTATTGAGCTTGAGAAAGGGCTTCGATCGAAGAAGCCGGGCAAGTGATCTCAATTTCCCCTCTTTCCTATTAGATTATTTCTTTGTGTTTGAAGCCTAGGCCTACTTAACGTTTTATTACTGTCATTTGAGGGTATTTTATTTTTATTTTTTTCTTTTAGATCTCAATTATAGGCATTTCACTTATTTTAGTGCTGTAAAATTGGCATTTTGCAAAATCTCTTGTTGGTTCAGCACTTTTATATAAATGTACCTTCGTTATTGTAAAAGTTTGGGCAGAGGAAATGATTTTATTGAATTTTGAATCAACAGATGTTAAACATTTGCGTTCAACTTTTAGGCTTTCCTGCCAAGTGCTCACTTTAAGAGTTGATGGTATATCTTCAATGCAATGTGCATTGGGTTGAACGGCAAAAAGTTTTAGATAATTAGCTTTGGCATGATGGGCTGCATAAAAACGTGCAATTAAATTGCCTATTCACGTGAATTAAACCAGTAATCATAGAAATTAAATGTCAGAATTGCTATTCTTCTCTAAATAAACTTAGAAGTGATTGTGTTGTGTGAATTTCTTCCCTTAAATAATGGATTGTGAGAGTTTACCTTTACTATAGTTGGATAAAAGACCAATGTAAAAAACTATGAAAATGGCCCAAATTTATATAAAGTAAATTTTAGAAAAAATTAATGAATTTTGCAGTTCATGATGGTTTAAGTCCTATTTTTAGATTATTTTGTAATTTATATTGTATTTTAAGTGAATTATATGCATTCAACATATTATTTTTTTTTTGCACTATTAGCAACTAGTTTTTTCTTGATAACTCATTTGTAGAAAATAGCATGGTATTCTTATATTAAGTAATAATGAGTATAAAGAATGAATGCAATGCTTAAATTGTTATTTGGTTGTTTCCTGGCTGGACTAAAGGCCAGATCCATGATCAATACTAATGATTCACTAATAAAGAAAATTCAAAAAATGTTCATGAATTTTTTCTCTCACACTCACATACTGGCGCACATTTCTTATTTTCTTGTACCATTCTAACCATGTGAGATCTTGCTTTTTCTTCCTTGTTTTTCACTATGTAGGTCATCGTATCGAGGCAATAAAACGAATTGGTCATAAACTTCAACAGTGGAGCATGGAACCTAGCATAACCTTGGCAATATCAGATGTGTACGATATGGTTCCAGGAGAGGATATATTATTTGCTAACACAATCATTCTAAGGCTTGCTGATGCTTTTTGCAATGGAGATATTGAAGTAAGAAGGTGCATCTTGAAAGTTTTCCTTGTGGAGTTGCAGCACATCACCAAAAAGGGAAAAAATTATGATGGTATTTTGGCAAGGAAGAGGGTGCCAAATCACTTAGAACTGCTTAAAAGGCTGCTTACTGTGTATGACTCTGGTGATCTTGAAGCGAAGTGCTTGACTTTGCGCATGTTTGGTTGCTGGGCTTGTCTAGCAACGGATAGCTCACATATATGCTTTTTGATACATAAAAGTATGCAATCAAACCATGATTTAGAGGTGAAGCCAATGCCTTCCTAATGAAATTTCCTCTTTAAATGCAATTCGTTATATGCTTAAATCTATAAAATTTTGTTAGCATTTGTTCGTTACTCTTGTTTGTTTTGATTTAAGCATGAATCCATCTAGAAACATAATTTGCTCAGTTGCCAGGTGGATCATGTGAGTTCTAGAAGACTATTCTAGTGCTTTGTGAGGGGCTCTTAGCTGGTGGCAAAATTTTACAGATTTAAGCAATGGATTTCAAGGTAAATGCAGGAAAATTGGCTGCATTTACATTGTAGTATTTTTAAAGAATACGTATCTTAAGAAGTTGTTTTTTTTTTTAACTAAATGAAGCAAATTTATATCAATCAAACAGTCCAATAGTTATTTTACTTGCACTCCCCATTGCAATTAATTTTGACATAATCGTATAGCTTTGAGTTTAGTTTCATTGCTTTCCTATCAGTTGAGTTATTAGCTTTTCCTTGAATGCATGCAATGTTAGATTGCATGCTTAACTTTTTTTTTTAAAAAAATAAAGTATTTAGCATTTATTTGGGAAACATGTACTATTATGTACAGGTAAAGGCATCGTTATTTGCTGCTGGTTGCTTTTCTAGATTGTCCGAGGATTTTGCCTACATTTTTCTGAAAATACTGATTAGTATTATTTCTTCAATAACAAGATCCCCAGATGTAAGGTTAGAGGCGGTTCGTGCTTTGGCTAAACTGCAATGCTCATCAGCTATTACCGAATATGCATACCAGGTATTTCATATCCAAATACCATGATTCTAGAAACTTCAAAAGATTACTTCAAGCATAGATTATGTGTTTTGAAAATTCCTTTAAAGCATTTCTTCATAGATTTTCGGAGATAAAGCAACCATGGCAAAATAACCCCTCTGCTTATTTTCTTATTATTTTTTGTATATCCCAAGATATTTAGAATTTACATACAAGCTTCAGTTTGCGCTACTATTTTTTTGAATAATTTTTTCTTTAACTGCATCATTCTCTCTGCTGTGAGAAGTTAGCATCATTCTCTGCTGTCAGAAAACTTCTCGTTTTCTGGGCAATTAATTCCAATATTCTGGTCAAATTATGTATTAACTGGTAAGGCGGATATATTTTTTGTCACATATATGGCTTTATTAATTCTTTTTGGGCAGCCAAAATTTTATGGCAAGGATATGGTTGGGCTTTATGCTTCAACTGAGATTGAATTGCTTATTGGTCTGTTATATGAACTCCACCAAACCTATGATTAGTTGCGAGTATGCTTTATTTGTAGATTTTAAGATTCTGTTGTCATTTTTTTGTTGCATTGCTTACACATAACAGGCTGGTAGAAGAGTGTTGTTGGATTTGCCAGTTGATGATGTCAAAGCTGAGATGTTGTCATCACTCTCAAAGCTTGCTTCAAAGACAACCTTGATATACCTTGATCAGGTATCTTTTGTTGTTTAATGGTGCCATTTTATTTATTTTATATTTTCAACCCTTCTTGACTTCATATACAGTTTGGTTAAAGTTTGCAGATCAAAAGTGATTACCTCCACTTAATTTACACACATTTATGCAACAAGTATCATTAAGGTATAGTTTTTTTTTGACGGAATTGTACTTTTTGAAGTGATTGGAGTTGAGGTCTCTGGATGTATGAGTGAAGGTGCGAATTGTAGAATCAAATTTTGTCATTTTAAAATGGACAACACCTTTTGGGTGCTTCTAGTTTAAAATGTTGGTACTGTTGTTAGTCATTAAGGAAAAATAATTTACTAAATGATAATCAGTTTAGTTGAATGTGGTTAGTGAACTAAATAAACTAAAATAAGCCATTTGAATACATCTGAAGTCAGAAGCAAAAATGAATTTGCATTCAAAGGAGGAAAGGTAAAATATGGAGGCCCTACACTAAGGAAGTTTGGAATTAGATTCTCTTATGGGTAAGGTTATAAAAAGTCATTAAAAGATGGCAAGCATAAATGATATATATTAAAGCGCTGATGTCAATGTGAAGGGGTTAAGTAGGTAAATGCATAGAAAGCCTTACTTGACTAGAATGTTTCATTCTATATGAGTTAGCACATGCACCTTTGCTCACTCACAAAAATGCGCCCGAACCTCGACTTCTAAGTTAGGATTCCATTTTTCTTGGGATAGATTAAAGTTTAATTGCCATATTTCCTCTGAGGTTTATGTTAGCGTTTATTTTTATCTAGGGTTAAACTTTCTATGGCACGGGCCTCCAATTCAACTAAACACCAAAATCATAATAAATTAAAATCTACATAAAATCATCTTGGTCTGCTCGGGATCTCTAAGAGGTGGTAGCCCATAATTGCTAATTAGATTATCTGGATGTTATGGCATATGGTTTTTTAACGTTGTGAGACAGAGATCATTGATATTCCTGGTATTACTGAATCATAGGATCTTGATCGAGTCTATTTCTATCCCACACAAACATTTCCCATTAATTCATATGAACCTCATAATATTAAGCTAAAAATTCAATTATAGCAATGTTATTATCCTTAATCGAGAGTGCTCTACTGTGATTGAAAGGGTAATTAACTATGAGGGCTTGTGCTCATTAAAAATTTAGATCTAAAATCTAAATATTTATGGTATAAGCATCGAGGGAAATTGATGCAATCAAGGTGCTATGTCCCTTCAGTTTCTATTCATTGGCCGCTGGGTTGTCTCTTCGTAGGCCTTGTTTCCCCTTGGGAGCTGTCCCTTAGGTTTGGGTTGTTGTCCCTTTTGTTTGGGCTACTATCCCCTCGGTTTTTGTGCCCATTGGCTGCTGTTTTGATGCTTCATTTTTCCCTAGGCTGTTGTCCCTTCGGTCCCTATTTGTTGCAGCTTTTGAGGAGTTTCTAGTGGTTGTTTGGGTGATGCTTTAATTACCTTGCATTAAATGCTTTTTCCCTTTTTTCTCCTCTATAAATGGGGTTGTTTGGTGACAGTTTTAGGGAGAATGTGATGATTTCTGGAATATAAAACCTATGGGTTTGTTCTAGCTTGCAAGCTAGCCTCCTTTCCCCTTCCCCTCTATTACTTTAACTCAGTTTTCTACCTCTTCTTCTCTATCCACTGTTTCCGCCCATTTATATCTTTCTTCTCTTAATTAATATAAATTGTAAGTTGTGTTCTAGTATTTGATATTATATGTATTTTTCTATGTTTATGGTAAGGAAAACTCTTAGTTTGCAATCTTAAATTGTGTAATTTTTTTTTTTGTTGCATCAGAAATTTAGTTAATTAAAATTTAATCTACTTCATGGAAAATGGAATCCTAACTTAGAAGGTGGGTTTTCTTTCATTTTTTTATAAGTAAATAAATTTATGGTGACTCCACTGGGGATAACTTTTTTCTTAATCTATTGATGAGTTACTTTAAAATTCAGTGAATATTGAATGGCTAATGATGCTAATCATCATATAGTTCCATTCACCCAATGCACATGGTCATTAACGTTGAGCTTGCAATTCTTTTATTGTAAAAGTTCAGGCTTTAAAATCCCAAGTTAACCCAAACTTTTATAAGTTGCATAATGGGTACTACTAAGACATGGCATCTGTTATTAACATAATGTTAATGACAATGAAGCTTGAGGAGTGATTGATGGTTTGATTCCACTAGGTCATCATTAATGTTCATTATGCTAGAGCTACCATCCATTCGAATGTTGTAAGATTCATCCTCTAGGCCATCACTAATGAAGCTGCATCACCCAAGAGGTGGGTTGTTATTGACCAAGCTGTGGTTCCGACAACACGGGCTCATCTCTTAATCAAGGGGAGGCAACCTAATGTGGTCATTTTATATAAGCCATGATGCCAATATACTAAGGCTTTTGAGATAACTACTACTGAGATAGCTCCCAAGAGAGCCTCTAAATTGTCAATACTGTCTACTGCAACTGATCTGGCCCTTGTTGCCAAGAGGAATGCTTATGAGCCTAAAATCAAACTAACCATTGTTGACCTAAAAAAAAAATGAATGATGATGAGACTCCCATAGGACTTACTTTTACCCTTAAGAGGCATAATGTTAAAGTCTCCTCATCCAGTACTAAGATGTTAAGAAAAGCCAGAAGAACGGTTAATGCTCGACTACGCGCTGAAAGTCCAGAACTACACTCTGCAATGTAAGAGAAATTGTCACTAATAGTGGCTTATATTCCAACAACTAATGGCTTTGAGCCATTGCGTTGGCTAAAAAGGAATAGTTCCAAGGGGATATAAAGAAGTCCTTTCGGGACACATTTCGATTGATACCAAAGAGACAACAAAAGGAGGAGGAATCAGTTTCCTCCGGATCTATAAAATATTATAGGCTATCAAAGATAGTGTGGTCTTCAAAAGAGACTAAAAAAGCCTAGTGATAGAAGCAACTATTCGACCATGATTTACTCCTAGGAGAATAAGATTTTGAGAAAGCCTCATGGTGGGGATCCCAAATGAGTTCCTCTTTATCATGATAACAAAATATATTACCCGCACTCTGAACAAGATCCATATTATGAAAATAAGTTGCTTAGATAATATCATAGCAACACTCCTGGAGAAAACCATGCTTAGAGGTATGATAATAAAAGGAGGGGCTCGGCACATCTTTCTTGAGCGAACAAGCTTTTAAAACAAATGTTGGTAAGACTAAGAGGGGTCATAAAACTGATCCAAGGTGGTGGGAAGATAGAGATGATAATATGATCTTTTATGTTCAATTTTTTTAAATTCTGTTGAAGAACTTTTATACATGCTTTTTAGTTGAGAAAATACCCCCTTTTTTACTTTATATTTTTTTATTGTATTGAGGTGTTTTACATGGTTCAAAAGGATTTAGGTAATATGCATTCATTTTGTAATTGGATTTTATAAGAATTGGAGAATTTGTTATTTGAAGCTTATTCTGGCATGTTTACTCAATTTATACATTCCTAGGAAAATGCTCCTTTTAGTAAACGTCCAAAATCAAGGATAGGAATAATTACAAAATTAAGTGCAATATAAATCTGACAATGGACACCCCATCATGCATTTTCTTGACTAATAAAATGAGATGGAAAATCCCTTGGACTGGTGAGGTGGCCTTGATCCCCAAGGCACTATTAAAAGCGGTGGTGGGAGCTATCGTCTTGATTGCTGTAGCTGACTGGCAGCATGAATAGCTAAACAATTTGCAGAGAGCTCCAGCTTTTAAAGGTTTTGACTGTCTTGCAGTGATGAGGGCTAAACCGGGGGTGACATATGGCTCTCAGTGTGCAGGGAAGAATAGCTTGCAGGAAGCTTCAACTTGTGGTAAAGGGGTTGGCGGTCTTGTGATGTTAAAGGGTGGCATGCTGAAGGGCAGTGGAGGGAATGTGCATTTCTTTAAGATTGAATCTTTAATTAGCATTCATAAAGCTAATCCTAAATGAACTGTCTTGTTGGCAGTCTTTTCTATGTTATAGTTCTTTTGAGTTACCTCTGCCATGCTTGTCAATTGTTCAGGCTTAAGAATATTTGATTATTTTAACCTACAATGTGACTTTTTATTCTTTTTAATTAGTTTCTTTGTTCTTAACACTTCGAAGAACTTCTGAGCATGCTTATCACCCTTCTTTTGGGTAAAATTAGTGCTAGGGTCTCTTTTCTTGTGTCGTGTACATTCATCCGTCACTGTATTATTTCTGCAAATAAATGATTTTTTTTATTCTTGTTTTGAAACAGCTTGATTTGTTGCAGTCATTCCTAAACCATGAATATCCCATCCCGTTGAAGGCTAGAGCTTTAAGATGCCTACATTTTCTGCTTGTTGGAGGTTCCTGCCATTTTCCTGTCAGGAAGAATATTCTTTCTGCACTATGCAGTATGTTTGATGACAACAATCTTCCGCTTAGTCTCCAATGTTTATCTTTGCAGATTCTGTGCAAGGTAATATGCCTTGAAATTTTATGCTACTATTTATCTGCTATTTCTATTGACTTTTATTTATTCATTTCATAGATATTCTCTACTAGGCAACTAAATCTACCAGTCTCAGACATTCCTGATTTAGTCAAGGTTCTTGTAGTTGTAAAAAATTCGGATATTCCCATGACAAAGAGACGTCTTGCTCTTAACCTTCTCATAGATATTTTGTGTTCCATGAAGAAAGGTGGGAAAGAACATTATGCTTCTTCTGCAAATTGGCTCTCCAACATTGCCCAACTCCAAGGTAGTTCATCTTCTGGACCGCTGACTTCCAGTGGATGTAGTCTAACACTACTTATCAACAATATTTCTTTTTTGATTATGGATCAAGTGAACTTCCTAGTGAAGGAAATAATTTGCAGTTGTCATAAGGAGGTGAAATGTGTTGAGAATCTGAAGTCTGGCAGTGAATTATTTGTATTGAAGAAAGAACTCAAGAGCATACTTTATCTTATTTTACGCCTTGTTCAAGAGGACTCTTCATCATGTTTGGTTGCTTTTAGTAAATTAAGATGTATTGTGCACTATCTGGTCAGTTTGCTTACTGAGGGTAGAGGTGAAACATGCATAGCTTCTGAGGCAGTTTCACCTAAGGAAACAAATTATGAAACGAATGATATTGTCTTCAGGCCCTTGGAGTCTGATGGAGAGAAAATTACTGTTATTTTAGCGTTTATATTGTGCTTATGCAGGTTTGCAAATGCTTGTATCAGCATTCTTCATGAAACTAACTCAATAACCAGTGAAGTGCGACATATACTAAAGGATGTTGTTAATTGCATTAAGCTGTCTGAATGTTCGTGTTATTATTCATTTGAAGTATTTTGTCTTATAGTTCATTCATTTGTCTTTGATTACGGTTTCAAAGAAGTTAAAGGGAATAAAGTAAAAGTTGGTGATGAAATATGCTGCCCTCATAGTATTTTCTGGTTTCATCAGGAGTGCCTTGCACTTGACTTCACCAAAAAGATACTAAGAAGGGGTAATTACTGGGAAGTTTATAAAGCTGGAAAATACTCTTGTTTACAAGGTCTGTGGTTTGCTGCTACCTTTTCTTTTCGTAAGTTGATAGATGTTGCAAAATCAGGAAATTACTCTAACTGGATTAAAGCTTTGATGCTATATGTTGGCGGTGAAAGTGAAATCAAATTGCTGCTTTTTCCTAGAGCAGGTTTGGAGCTGATTAATAGTTTCCAGTATTCAAGTGATAGCGACCAACCTTTTAGGTACAGTGGAGGAGAAACAAATGCATGTGTTGGTGAGGGTTATGACTGGAATGCTTTTAGAGCAAATCTTTCTAGGGTTTGCGGCAGAATTTCCTCTTCTGAGAAAGTTTTGGAAGGCTCTGCTGATTTCAATGGCGTATTCTTTTTTCAGAGATGGTTTCTTAATCTCAGAGGCAATTTTCTTCAAATTGTCGCGGAAACTCTTAGTCTTCTGTGTTCTAGTACACTTGCTGAGGAAAAATATAAAAATAGCACTAGGCTCAATCCTTTAAATGCATCAAAAGTCACACATGATATGCATACTCTTGTATGTGCTTTGGCTAGGGTATCTTTTCGGGTCAATAATTTAGCTAAAGGTTATGATCTTCTGGCTACATCTTTCATGGATATTGATGCAGTAAGTTTTCGAGGCATTTCAAGGCTTGGTTTCATTTGTTCCACACTTGCCTTTTGCACTTCTTTTGCTACCAATGTTTTAAACAGATCTGCTTTCAAAAATATTATATCCTCAAGTGCAACTAACCTTGAAATTTATTCAAATCTAAAGATTGTGCAAGATTTAGTTGAGCGATTGATGGATATTGATTATACAATTGCTAGGAAACTCATGAAGTTTATCTTGGCTAAAGAAGAAATCAAGCATGGATTATACTCCAAAATGAATATACATGGTCCTACCCTATTTGATAATGTTTCTTTATCACTCATACAATCTGCTATAAGTGGTATTCTATGCGTCCAAGTTGATTTAGAGGTGGTTGATGATGAAGAGGATCTAATTGCAATTTTTCTTAGGGGATTGCAACATCTTTTTTGCTTTATTACGAAATGGATGGAGATCCCCTTAATCACTCCCAAATATTTTTTTAGCGTGAGGTATGTGAAGGAAAATACAACTCTAGTTGGACCTTGTTTTATATTTCAACATTTTTTTGGATTTTTACATGCATGCAATGCGAAATTTTCCGTAATTATTACATATCTGACTCCTAATTCTTTGTATTTATGATTTTACATGGCAAGTTTTCTCCTTCCTGTAGAAAGATCTCTTTGTTAACTCAACTAGACATGATTAGGATAATCTTAATATACATGCAAGCATTAAACTATCATTTTAGACTACTTTTTTTCAGTCCCATTCAAAACTATTATAACCAATGTTTTATAACCAATTAAGAGCTGTTGGCGAGTTTAACTTTGTGGTTTCTCGGTGTGAGATGTATTACAACTAGAATGGGGGTGATCTTAGGGGTGTCAAAACGGATATTTGGGATTGGTTCAGCTCGAACCAGGAATTGACCTGGGTCCAAACGGGTTGACCCTAACTAGACCCAGTCCTGACCCGACGGGTTAACGGGTTGACCGGACCAGACCCGTTTGTGGGCTCTGAAAATTCGCGCCCCAGCATCCCCTACATAGGAGTTTTAACGATGTTCTGGGTCAAATTTTCAGAAGGCATATTAACTTTGGGATAAAGCACTATCCAGAGATTTCGCCCTCATTTTGTGAGGACTTTATAATATAGTCCTAGGTTTTCCATAGGCGCAAGCAACTATGGTTAATTACCCCTCCGGATCACGAGAGAGTACTTTCAATTAAGGCTAGTCATTAAATAGTTACGAAATACCTAGCATATAGTAGCAATATATGAAATTGGTATTATAAATTTATCATTTTTATACTTAAAGCAGATGGTGGGGGGAATGATGATGAGCCCAATCAAGATCTCATGGTTCTGTCATCCCGGGCCATCGTGGTCCCTAGTCTACTTAGTTAGAGGAGGTAGTCGACCCAACCTGACAGAAGGATTCTTATCGGCAGCCATTGGTTGCTTCGTCCAAGGGGACCTTGTAGACTTGGGGTGGATGCTTGTTTAAGGAAAAAAATTTTAGTCAACCTTAGCTAACAAAAAGCTTTGTGCCTTATTGAGTGCACTCTATGATTCATTACTCAAGGGGCTTTTAACCATTGGAGAACATACGGGCTTTGACCGTAACCGTGATATAGTGGTGCTATTCAATAAAATCACCTGGTCAAATGGCACATGCCACGTCCCCGCTGATGAGAAATCATTTGAGAATGAATTACAATGATACATTCAATTAGATATTTATCTCTTTGTGAGCTGAAGTTACTCTGAAATTTATCATCCTTAACAAACGTTTGCGAATGATGGATGGATATTTGCTTTAAGTTTTAAATAATAAATTTCATTTGAATATTGTAAAATTTATCAAGATTTTGTTCCAAATATGATTTAATTTTGAAATTTGTGGGTTTTTTAAATGTTTGAGATCCCCTCCAGTTGAGATTAACTTTCAATATGGTCATCATCGGGGTGGCATCTCTATAATTGCTTTGATCTTGGAGTCAATTTCGATTCCTTGGTGACGAATAACATACCCCATGAATTTGCCAGAAGAGACCAAAAGCGCATTTAAGAGGGTTCATCTTCAGATCAAACTTTCTAATTATCTCAAATACGATCTTTAGGTCATTTAAGTGATCTTTGCGATCTATGCTCTTAATAACAAGGTCATCAACATAACACTCGACCTTCTGATGTATTAACTCATCAAAAATACGCGTCATTGCCCGCTGGTAGGTGGCACCAGCGTTCTTCAGGCCAAAGGGCATAACCGTATAGAAAAAAATGCCGATGGGTGTCCTAAACGATGTATGTTTTTCATCTTCAGGTGTCATCTTGATCTTATTGTAGCCCGATGTTCCGTCCATAAATGAAAACATATCGTAGTTGGACGTATTATCCACTAATAATTCTGACACCGGAGTGAGAAAAGATTCAAAGTTAATTTTGAGGGCTCGATTAGGTAGCTGTTTAGGCTTGCGGCAAAGAGAAGGAGGTTGGAGATTAGTGTCGGCTGAGAGGGATGTAAGGGCTGCAGTAGAAGAGGAATTGTGACGTGGGAATTTTTGGGCTTGCGAACCAAGAAGAACGGGACAGTAATAGGAGTGGCGTGAGATTTGGTTACACAAGCAGGTCAGTATGCTAAGTTGGAGCTGGCATTGGGAGCTAAGAAGTGACAGGAAAAAGGGTAGCTTGTGAACTGGAAAGAATAAGTGAGAGGCGTGAATGAGAATAATGAGTACAGGATGATAATTTCTTTTTTTATCATTTATCTTGTATTCAGTGGTGGGATGCATGCAAGCCAACACCTAAGTAGAAAAATTTGGCCTTTACCTTAGCATAGGCCATATGGATTTAAAGGTGGCAGAATGGCATGGCTTCGTCAGTACATTGGATAAACAAGTATAAGAAATTAGAAACTATAGATAATAGTTTACATATATAAACATATTTATATTACTATTTTTTTTTTTAACTTCAGGTAACACATCCCAAATGAGTATTACATTTAGAACTATTTTTTATTGATTTTTTTTTTTTTAAGACTATGAATTTTAATATTAGCATAACAATAAATTTAATAAAAAAATATTATAATCAAATTTACACTACTTACATGACATATTTTGAAATAACTTTTGCTTTCTTAGTTAATTTTGATTTTTTATGATTTTTTTTTATTTATCCTGCTTCATATGCTGACAAAATTTTTAATTATCGCGCTCGCAATTTACTTTTCCTCGTCGCCTCATATGCGAGCAAATTTTTTATATTTTCGCATGGTAAATTTTATACAAATATGAAAATAATATTGCAATCATTTCCTGGTATTTTTAACATTTTGTATGCATTGGTGAAGACTGTTTCGCAAATGAATAACCTTCTACTCGTAGTTTGTCGATTTCATCCGCTTTCGCTCAATTTGATTGCGAGAGGTCCCTCTCTGGTTAAATTCGATGCTCTAAACTCATCGACGAAGCTTGTTTAACAAGTGGAGGCCATTTGGATAGTTTTTTGCTAGCGTTGCATCCACTAACACATTGTTGCTCGATTGAGTTGCATACGAACAACTTTTATTTGGTAAATTTGATGTCCTGAATGTATCGATATGATCCATTTTGTAATCGAACAAAGCTTTAATCATTTCATTATGATCGAGGCACTCTGATCTTCGTTCTAAACGATGTCTTATGTGCCACATATGTAAAGGTCAACACCGTTTAACCCAGAATGTGCAGACCAAAGGGAGAGTAAGCAAGTGCTGGCGAAGGGGATGCTAGCGGACGCTGTGTTGGTAAACGTGGCCTGTATGGGGTGCAGGCATGGGAGTGGGTGAGGGTGCGAGAGCTGCTACTAGGGAGCAGACGAGGTGCAAGTGTGGGTATGGGTGCGGTCCATTCGGACACAAGAGCGGGAGCGCAGGATTGAATGCGGTCGCGTGAAGAGTGTGGTAAGTGGGCATGGCAGCTCAAGCGTGGGATTGAGAGAGGGCACGAGCGCAGGCCGGCACGAGCGTTGAGTGCCGGCACAAGATCACTACAGGCTGAACGTAAGCGCAGGATCACAGCATGACGAACCTGAACCCGGGTCATTTTTGGGTTGATTTTTGGTTTTCAAGTCAACTCGAACTCAACTCAATTTTAGAAATAAGTCGGAAAACAAAAACCCAAACCCGACTCGTTTGGCAAATGGGTTGACCCTAATTCAAATTTTTCCGATTGAGTCTGGTTGGATTTTGGGTCGTGTTAAATTTTGACACCCCTAGGTGACCTAATGCTAGCGGGTGGTGATAGTTACATAGATTAATGTAATTAGAATTTAGGTATAGTTTTGCTAATAAGACACTAACAATATAGCAGGGTAGTAGCTCTAAAAGAGTATTGGTGGTAAATATGTATATGTGTGGCTTGTGAAACGTGTATCTTTTGGATTAGCTGAAGTGATTGATGCATTGAGTTTTCAAATGTTAATTTTAATAGATTTTTCTCTTACTACCTTAGAAAACGTTAATTTTTTTTTCTTGGGTGGTTTGGTTTGTAATCTAATTGATTTGACAAGTTCTTTCATGCCTATCCATGTTTGTCCCTAAGGCATATCACCCTAAAAAACTGAACTGATTTATAACTTTCTATTGTGTGGAAATGTCTTTTAAGGGACACCTGAGAAAGATTAGTAAGTTCGGTGGTCTTAAATACAGTGAGTAGATAAGTTTTTCTTGTCATGTGATTTCGGAAGGGATTGTTGTTACAGGGAAATTGATTGCTGAACTAGTTGTTGCGATGTATGACTAAAAAATGTTCTTTCATTGTCTAGTATAATATTGGAGTTAAAATAATATCATATTTTCTCCTTAAGAAGGAAATACTTAAAACTCTAGTATTGCAGGCCCCTTGTTACTCTGATTTATTTAAATATACAGATTCTTCCTGGGTTAATGTTTTCATTCTGCAGGCCTTGTATTGGTTCGGAGCTTTACATTTTCCATGCAAACTCTTGTCATAGAGATGAAATACTTGTTAAATCTGGTGTCCAATTGCCGTTGAATCTTTGCATTAAACTTAAGAATGCATCAAAAAAGAAGTGTGCGAGCATAACTAAGATCTACTGTGTTCTTGCTGTAAGAGCAGCTGATCGCTTTACTAATGGAAGTGGAAGGCTAGCCCCTGCACAATGTCTGCCTCAAACTCATAAGGCTGAGGACACGTTATGGTTAAGTGAGATTCTACTGCTTCTCCTCCGAGCCAATAATGCGGAGACAGATAAAGAGCATCAGAATGTGGTTGATGATGGAAGCTTTTTAGCAACTTTGGCATGTTTTGAGCCCAACAAAATGGGGCTGGGATTCTCAACTTGCTTGCTCAATATTTCACATTTACCTGAGGGTTCTTATCCGATTAAATGGCATAGTTGTTGTGTTGATGATCGTGGATTTTATTGGAATTTGTTATCTTTGAACAATGAATCAGTGTTTACTATAAAGAAGACCTGATGCTGATAATCTGCAGCATCGAGGATTCTCCAATGTCATGCTTCCCTCATTTTTATATAAGAAATATTCCCCTAGGTATGCCTCTTGGCAGCTCCGACAGCAATCAATTTTAGAGTTGTCTTCTCATTCTTAGCTTATCTTTGTATAATTGTATGTGTGTGTGTGAAGAACTTATGCCAGCTGAATTGAGAAAAAACTATTAACTTTGACTTGGTCGGGGTTTTTGCAAAGTCAACTCTCAGCTGTTGTAAAAACTAAGCTCTTTTGGTGAATGTGACCTTATTTTTTATCCTTATGTATTGATTTTGTGCAATATATGTATAATTTGGATTTGGGATCGTTTTTAGGCTTGGACATCATACATACCTAACCATGATTAGCCCAAGGCCTCAGCCTTGATGTTTCCCTGAGAGATTTGGTATTTGTGGCATCGCTCCACAAGCTGCACACGTGCTAAGAAATTCTGGCTAGAGGACTGATTATCTTGCTACTGCATTTATTTATGCTAAAAGCATTATCAAGTAGTCATGGGTGTTATTCTACCTAATCTGATAAGAGGACTAGCATCATTCTTTTCATATTATACCTAAAAATATATATTTCCTACAAGCAAAATGTCAAACACTTTAAACCTTAGTTAATTTACTGGGTTTATTATGATTGGTGAGAAACCGAGATTGAACTTAGGGACTGAAAACTGAGTTGTAATGGTTGAAATCATTGGTTGCATATTCATAATCGAACCCCATGGTTTTTTTTTGGTTTTTTTTTGTTTGTGGTCATTCGTTTACCAATAGACATCATTTGTATGAGTATCAAATGCTGGAATGAGGTGAGAATGGCAGAGTAGAAACAATGTGTTGGATCTATATTTATCTGTGGATGATACTCGATCCTGCTAACAAGAAAATTCAAGAGATTGGAACTTGAGAGAATATTTTAGAAGTTATTGAGAGTGCTAAGGAAAACTTCAAGGAAAAATGCTCTAATAGCTCAATGAGGCTTCAAAGATATTCTTGTTGGATCCAATTGCATTTGTGGGTGATTTCCAATTTTACTAGCTAGCCTACTTGGTAAGCGACTTAACTAGAATTTGTGCGAGAATGAAGAGTGGAGAGGAAGGAATAATTTGCAGAGAACTAAAAATTCTAAACAAGCATTGAGTCCTCTATAATCATTCAAAAGATCTAAACGGCTCCTCAGCACCCCTTATTTAAAATGTTTTGAGAGCTATAAAAAATAGTGCAAAACAATATAAAAAATATAACACTACACAAAATATATGTAGAAAGCTACATGGAATATCCTAAGCATGTGTCATCCTCTAATTGATTGGATGTGGGTGACGTCAGAAGGACCTCAACGAGTGGTTTATAGGCGAGCTTAGTAGTGCCGAGTAGGTTAGGGTTAGTCTGTGGGCGAGCGTTGAGATTAGAGATTTTGTGACCAGCAAGCTGGCTGATATTCCCAATGACTTTTATAAGATGTCCCAGGTTGCTTCAAGAGAGAGAGAGAGAGAGAAATTTTTTATGGGAGGGGAAAGGCATCATGTCAAGTCGTTGCAATGAGTTGAGGATCCCATTAATAAGAACTTTCTTGTAGCTGAGCTTGGTGAGCTTGCATGAGAGTGATCACTCAGGGAGAGAGCGGCTGAAGTAGATGGCGAACAAGGTTTGTGGTGAGTGTTGGCTGTCAAGCTTAATGAGTAATCCCTGATCCACTACTTAAAAGAGTGAGCTCCTTGGTAGGTCATGTCAAGTAGCGCCTATTGATTACAATGGGTGAGTTCTCCTAAAGGTTTTGTGGCAAGTAGCACCTCTTAAATCATTAGATGAGTTATGGCTATCTTAAATACTTGTGAAGGCATTACGAGAATAAATATAGTTCTCTAATTCAATTGACCCCTCACTAAATGAGTAACAAAAGGACAAGTGAACTATAATAAATGCAACTATAAAACATAAGGAAAATAAATGTAGAGTTACTATCCTAATTTTATTGTAGCCTTAACGATGTATTGGTCTTGTATTAAAAATGGTGGTATAATGCCACTTTCCACTTAGATCTTTATAAATAGGATGCTTGTGAAGAGAGAGTTTAACCTTTTCTACTTTGGTGATCTGAGATAATGCAAGTTTTGAGAAAATAAATCTTAAAGGCCTTGAAGAAGTTTAATATGGGTCTCCGAAAGAATTTTGCTTGCAGGGTCAGAATGCAAAGAGTACAATCACACTATCCCGTAGGAAAAAAATGATCGTAGACAATTACACTCTACACAAGCAAGCCAATGGGAGTTTAGATGGGATTATATATATGATTAACCATAGAGGATAGTAGATTTCGCTTACATACATCGATGGATAAAAATATATATAACCCAAGAATAATAAGATTTTCCCCCATCCAATACATTAGCTTGAATGAGGTTAATTTGATGTGAATGTCAGTTTCTCATAGGCGCAAGCCCTTGTGATTAATTACATTTTAGACATCGGCCTATGAAAATTCTCGATAAGGACACTACATTATTCTCTCCGAGGGTTTGACGCATACGTAAATTTCCAGTCTCTCATAATCCAAAGGTAGATAGGCTCAATTAGGCTAATCAATATATGTGGGTCATACAGCCACTAAGCCAATCTAAAGAAGATAAATTCATGGAAAAAGACAAAAAAGACATTGCACTTAAACATGTCTGAGAGGAAAATAGAGGTGACGTCATCCATGTGACACGGATAGGTGAAATTTATAGTCTCTAAAGATTAGAGAGCTTACCCACCAATAAGACGTATACAACAATATGTTAGTATCGCCAACAATTGATTCTAATTCTATGAGGGATGTAGTACTATACACCTATACACCTGGTACTAATACTCACAACTTAACTATTGCAATGCAATCTGGGTTTACATCTTGTCTGAGAGAAAGCCATATAAAGCCACTTAAACGTATATAAGACATGCTGTCCAGCCTTTATAAAGGATAGATAAGTGGTTGAGTTTTTGGAATTTAAGAACGACGTCTAGAGAAATCTCTAAGTGGCCTTGCACTTATGGAGGGTAATATGCATCTAGGTTTAATGCAATTATATTTTAATTTTAGTTCATTTTTAATGCAATACATGTTAGTTGAAGTATACAAATCATAAATGTTAAAATTTTTAAAAGGCTTATAATTTTTTTTTTTAAATAGGCTTCACCAGGTTCACCTCCTCATTGTCATAAATTGGATTATCTGAACTCTACCATCAGGCGGGGAAGTGTCTAAAGCAAGGGAAAAATGTATTATGCATGCGACTCTAGAAGGCCTTTGACTTATTTTTCAATATCATTTATATTTCTATGTTATTTAATTTCTGAAATTTTATTTTTAATTATGAATAGAAGAACAAAAGTGGGTTGGAGTTTAATTGAAATTAAATTAATTCAATTAGTCTAAGATTAGTTCAGCTTGAGCAAAATTCAAGCCTATTTGAGTTGATATAGGTTTGAATAGGTTCGATCATATTAATTTGATGAAATTTAAATTCAAATCGATGTCGATTTTACTCGACTCAGGCTTGACGAGGGCCAATCGACTGGATCAAACATGCTCAAGGGTGAATCAAGATAAAAATGAGGTCAACAAATGGACTCCCAATAGGTGTGATAAACGATAAGTGAATCGTACGTGTTGATCTTGACCTCCCTATCCCTAGGAAGATACAACCCTATAATCAACTAATGAGACTCAAGAAACATTCAATCACACATTAATCATCAGATCAAGCAATAAATTTTTCACCATGCAATGATCATATAATCATACAATGATCATGTAATCATGCAGCAACCATGCAATCACGCAGTAATACATAATCATGCTAAAAATAAACAATCATGCGATATTCGTACAATCATGTAATGATCATCTAATTATATAATGAATATTGAATTACACCATAAGCAAATGATCATGCAATAATCACACAACAATCACATAACTATGCAATGATCACCCAATCACAAAATAATTATCCAATCCTACGATGGTCACATAATAATGTAACTATCATCTAATCATGCAATTATTACACGATTACACAATAAACTCAAATATGCAATAATCACTCAATCATGCAATGAGCAATTTAATATATAATGATCACCTCACGATCACACTATCATGTAATGACCACGCACTCATTTAATCAATCATTCGGTCATGCAATGATCACATAACCATACTAGCATGACGAGAAAAATAGGGTAAAGAAATCCAGCATTCACCTGATCATATCAAAACAACGAATGAGAGGGGCTTGACACAATACTCACTTGACCAGATCAAAACTGTGAGAGAGATCCAAACGAAGATTGACTATCTACTTGTCTAGGTTCAAATAGTAGGATAAAAGAAAAAGAAAGGGATCTCATACTCATGTGAGCAAATCGAAATATTAACATAAAGAGCTAAAGAAGACTCAATGATCACCTGGAACATATGCCCATAGTGATGTGAGGAGAGAGGGGTTCAACAACCACCTAACTGAATCAAAATAGTGAGGAATAACAAACAAAGAAGGGAAATGAAGAAGAATAAACAATGAAAAGATGAAAGGAAATCCTCTATCTGTCTGATAAAAAATTGAAACAATATAATAAAGAAAGGAAACGGAGTCCCACATTCACCTGTTCATATTCAAAATATTGAATGGGGATGACTCGCTACCCTTTTGACCATATTCACAACAACGTGGAAAAGAGCTGCAAGAAAGGGAGTTTAATATTCGCCTGACCGCATCGCAACGATGAATGAGAATAGCTCAATATCCGCATGACCATATTCGTAATAACAAATAAAGAGTCCCCCAAGGTCTAATGTTTGTCTGACCATATTCGCACTAGTGGGACAAGAGAGGAAAAGGATTCAACAATCACCTGACCATATTCACAACACTGAATTAGGATGACCTAATATTCACTTGATCATATTTGCAATAACGAGACAAAGGGTCATAGAAAGACGGTTCAACATTCACCTAATCATATTTGTAATAGCGAATGAGAACGACTCAATATTCGCCTGACCATATTTGCAACAACTGGATTAAAGAAGAAAGATTCCAACATTTACCTGACTATATTCAAAATGGCGAATGAGGATGACTCAATGTTTGCTTAATCATATTCTTAATGGCGAGATAAGGAGTCACTAGAAAATTTAACAACTTGAAACATAAACTAAAAAGAGGGGGATGAAGAGGTGATGAAGTAGCTCAATATCCACATATTTGATTAAGTTGTTAAATTTGTTAAATTTGTAATAGCGATTGGGAACCCGATTGAAAAAGGGGA